AGATATGTTCTTAACTCCCATCGTTAGACCTTTCTATTATGTAAGCAAATTCTACAAAAAATATAATCGGACTTCGAGGTGATCAAAAATTGAAATTGTCATAACTAACTTTGTAATTCTAGAAATTTGGTTACACAATAAAGTATTAAAACAAAACCGAGATACCAATACAGCATTACCAAGAACACCTAACCAGCACTAAAAACACAACCTGTTTTTCTTATTTTTTTCTGTTTCCTTAAACTAATAAACGCAATAGTAAAAGGCCTTTTTAATGTTTCTAGAGCTCGTAAAAATAAGTTGTTTATTCTAATTACGTATCAAATATGAATTAAAACGTTCTGTCTATGTGTTAAATATATCCCATTTGCTACTGTCGTCTATAAGACGGGACGCGTATATTGTTATTTAACTATACAAAACATCTTGAAGAAACAATATATTTAAAGTGCAACACACAATATCTGTAAAGTGTAACACACAATAACAGAACATATAAACCTCCAGAAAAACAAAAGGTACCGTGAAAAAATATCATTTCAGAAAGGCTTTTTTGTATGTCAATCAGATAAATTTTGGTCAAATATCTCTTCACTTGTTTCGATACTAATACATGATATGCTTTCAAATATTTGGCTTTGAACTTTCCCGATGAAGGTCCATCCAGAAAAGCGCTTCAACGCATGAAAATCATAAAGTGTTATATTTCCACATTTTTTTAAATAGAATGCTGTATTTCACTATAGTTACTTGTTATTACCATCTGTGCCCAACTCGTTAGATTAACAAGTGTAAGTAAACTTGTACTTGTGGAGTTATTATTTTTGTGAATGATTTAATCAGCATATCCAGAATAGATGGAGACATTCAACAGATCGGATGGACATAGGTAAGATACAAAAAATTGTAAAAATGAAATAACTGGGTAATTTCGAAATATTTTTATGTGTTTCCCATATATTAAACACGTGTACTATCAAATTCACTTCTCTACGATACTTTAGATGTTCATTTCACCTTTAATTGTTAAATGAAACCACCAAAAATTAAAATACAACAAAACTTTATTTAAAAAAAGTTTCAAGGGAATTAAGTCAACAAAAGCTTTGGTAAATGGTACAATTTATAATGTATTTTAAAATAAGGAGATGTGGTATGAATTTCAATGAGACAACTACCTACTAAATGACGAAGATGTTAGCAACTATAGGTCGCCATACCGCCTTTAACCATGAGCAAAACCCATTACCGTTCACATTTTATATAATACAATCAATCATGAATTAGAAACACTATTCATTTCAATACAGGTATCAATTTTCGAAGAAAAGAAAGAACTCATTGATAATGGTCTGTAAATGAAAAAAATAAGATTTATCACATACCTTACAAAAGTAACCAAAATGAATTGTATCGTCACACTAAGAAAATTTTGTGTGTACTCGTTTGAGCATTGTCGCACTTTTTATCATTTAGTTTTATGCTCGATAGTCTTAATAATGTTACTCTTCATAAAACAAATTTAAGAAATTTGATTTGAAAAAAATAGGAGAAATTAAAATAAAGTTTGATATACGTTTATTTATATATATATACACACAAATAAAATCTAAAACAGTCATCTAGAGGTCAACATACGGTCTTATAAAAATAATAAAAAATGTTCATACCATATGTCAAGCAGCAAACAATCTTTTCTTTTTTTATGTTTAAGACCGTATGTTGACCTCTTCCGAAAATATGTTGCCAATCATGAATAATTCCAATATAAACTTCAACATTAAAAACTGAAATTAACACTTGATTAATGGGGTGGAGTTGCACATTGGCCCCCTAATGTCGTCATCGATTGTTTTGCGATATAAGCGGGAGGTTTGGCTAGCCATAAAATCCAGGTTCAACCCACCATTTTTACTTAAAATGTCCTGTACCAAGTCAGGAATATGGCAGTTGTTATTCAGTTCAAGAGAATTCCGAGTCTGATGTCAGAAGATGTAACCAAAGAAAATAAACTAAATGACAATAATACATAAATAACAACAGACTACTAGCAGTTAACTGACATGCCAGCTCCAGACCTCAATTAAACTGATTGAAAGATTATGTCTTCATCATATGAATATCAGGCACAATCCTTCCCGTTAGGGGTTTAGTATCATACCATCATAACATATATGAGAAGAACATAACCCGTGTCATGCCAACAACTGGTTTTTAAATAAATGTGTTTAGTGCCGATGCAAAGACCATATAAGTGAATCAATATTAACGCCAAAATATGCAATCTTTAATGACCTGACAACAGTATCGTAACTATATCCCTTCTTTATAAGTCTATTTAAAGGTTTTGTTAGCTTCAGAGGTGAATACTGACATTTTTGTGCTTTATAAAGAATATTTCCATAAAAAATTGGATGTGAAATACCTGAACGTATAAGAAGTCTGCATGTTGAGCTATATTTACGAATGATGTCCTTTTACCGATGATAAAATTTAGTAAATGTTTTGACTAGTTTGTGATATCGAAAACCCTGGTGTAATAATTTTTCAGTAATACATAAATTTCTCTCGTTAAAATCTAAAACATTGTTACATACACGAGCGAATCGTACAAGTTGAGATATATAAACACCGTAAGATGGTGACAAGGGAACGTCACCATCTAAAAATGGATAATTAACGATAGGAAATGAAAAATCATCTCTTTTATCATATATTTTAGTATTAAGCTTTCCGTTAATGATATAGATATCAAGATCGAGGAAAGGGCAGTGGTCATTGTTAGTATTAGCTTTATTTAAAGTAAGTTCAACAGGATAAATTTCTTTAGTATACATACTGAAGTCGTCATTATTGAGAGCCAAAATATCATCCAAATATCTAAAAGTATTATTAAATTTGTGTATCAGATGTTGTTTCGATGGGTCTTTGCTGATTTTTGTCATAAATTGTAACTCATAGCAATACAAAAAAAGGTCCGCAATAAGTGGTGCACAGTTAGTCCCCATTGGAATTCCGATAACCTGACGATATACGGAATCTCCAAAGCGAACAAAAATGTTATCTAGTAAAAATTCAAGGGCATATATAGTATCAAAGCATGTCCAATTGACATAGTTTTTTTGTTTATTGCTACTAAAAAATGACCTAAAAGAGTTTGAACATATATATTCACATTCTGACTTTTTAAATGCCCATTTAATTCGGTGTGTGAATTTTTTCTTAATAAGAATGAGGGGCAATGTGGTATATAGGGTAGAAAAATCTAAACTTTGAACAGATTCAAAATCACCAATATATGCATGCAATTTATCAAGTACTTCCAACGAGTTCTTGACACTCCAAAAGTAATTAATTCCACTATTTTCGAAGGCCTTATTTGAACAATTTATTATCAGGTTTTTCATTGTACCAAGTGTACTGGTAAGAAGAATAGACAATTTAGTAGTGAAACAATGGCTTGAAGACGAAATGAATCTATATTTGTAAGGTGTTTTGTGTAGCTTCGGAAGCCAATACATAGTTGGGACTTTCATTGTATTTGGTTCTGCTTGTAAAGCGGTAGCTAAAAGTTTATGTTTGTTACAGATGTCGTTTTCTGAAAATGGAGTCAGTTGGAATGTTGGTGAATTGGTGATTTCTTTTTTCAGAACCTCAATGTAAAATTTACGTCAAACAATAATAATATTATTAGCAGCTTTATCGGCCGGGACAAAAACAAATTCCTTGGCTAGTTCTTTTAGTTTATGTTTGATACGAGAAATAGGTTTATTGTGGTTATTGTTAAGAGTAAAATGTTCTTTAAAATGTTGAATACGTATATCAACTATGTTCATTACTGATTTAAAAAAAGAGTCCAAAGATTTTTTGTCAGCTTTTTCCCGTTTTATCCATTTCAAACAGTAAGTATGGAGTGAGTCGTGGATGATATTACGACACTCATTCCAATTAATAATTGACGGGGGACGATATTTAGGTCCTTTACTGAGGAATGATTTTAACTCTCGGTCTTGAACGATGTTAAGATCTCCTGTTATAACATGGGAAATGGGTCCATAAATGTATTCGGAATTACTGCAATTACATGAAGTAGGTGTATTTTCACTGATATTAACATCTTTACACAATTGGCTATAATTAAACACAAATTTCCGGGTAGATTTCTTGTAAATATAACAAATAAGAGGGAGCTCAGTATTATCAAAATATCCCGGAATTTGTTCTTTAACAGAATGGTCGTTAAAAATACCGGCAATATTTACAAAATCAAAACCGTACACCTGGTGTATTAAAAGACTATTTAGATCATTTAAAATGCAAGGTCTTTATTGGCAAATATTTGATGGTTGCATAAGTATTAAGCAGAAACTGAATGTGTGAAATATGGAATAGATCATGAAATCTGCTTGAAAAATGTATCTGTAAAGGGGTGACAATATTCTGCAACACAAAAATGCAGGAGATAATTGGATACAAAAAAAGTATGCGTAGCAAAAGATGAAAATGAACATTGAATTTACCAAAAGATCTGTTTGCACCCCCCCCCCTTTCCCCCACACACACACATACACACACTTCCAGCATATCAAATAGTTACATCAAGATATATCAAGATATAATATTTCAAGATGAATGCTTATTCATTTAAATGACAGATTAAGATTTTTAGATTATAATGACACAAAATTAGGTTGCGCACACCACAGGCAGTGAATGGATATGCTTTTGTGTAATAAGAAAGTTGGACGTCAATACTTTTCATCGCATAGTTAAGTATACATCCATGTATGAAGAATGTTGAGGATGACTTAAGAAGTCTATCATTCCAAACTTATCTAATTGTTACATAGTAAAATGACCATCAGTGGCCTGAGATGTCTTCGGGTAATGTCATGTCGCATTGAAAAATCTTTAAGACATAAATGATGTCCTTTTTACAAAATGAATGTAATTTGCTATGTAAAATTAAGATTACCTTTACACTTATCAAATTTTTTTAGGTAAAATGAGAAAGATGTCATTTATTACCATTATTGTTTCTACATTGGTGAGTATCATAATTTTATCCTTACCAGTAACCATGAAACAATTGCATTAATTTATGTCGTTTAAACTAGTCTTTTTCTTACACTACAAATCCTTTTCTGCAAACACTTTTAGACCTTGATAAATATATAGAGGTTTCCCAATTATATTTTCCCGTTCTGATGCTTTTCGTTTCCTTTTTATTGATATAGAAACTAGTTGTTCATCATATATATACTTAATCTCGGTTAATTAATTACATTAACATATATAGTTAGCACTAGTAAATTTAATGAATTTTAGTCTGAAACGGTCATTTTGATCTTAACATCATCTGAAAAGTCTGAACAATTAATTTTTAAGTCATGTTCAGTCTTTAAATCTGTTGTCAGAAATATCGACGACAGTAAATGCAGTACTGCTCAGACAATTCGCTTGCAGTCAATTCAGCACTGTTTAGTAGCTTTTCAGAAAATTTAGTATATTGTTATGTGTACATGTAAATAGCATTTATTGAGCAAGCAACCGAATTTTCTGAACAATAATGAATTTACCACAGTCGATAAGTATGAAAACTGACTGAAAGACTGACAATGACTTATTAGTTTATCTACCAGTCTTTTAAAAGATATTCAGATCAAAATGGCCATTTCAGATCAAAATTCGTAAACTACAGTTTTTATCCCTTGTATATTGAACACGTATGATATTTCTCTTAAAAGAATAGTGATACGTTTGGTGGTGACATATCATATTTTTATTTGCAAAGTGAAATAGTTTTAAACAATCTCATTTACATAAATGTGTGCTAGTTAATTTTTTTCATTACAGATTTTAATAGAAACTGCAACTTCGCTAGAAGGTAATGAAATATATCTTTTTTCTATTAATTTTGCCTTTTTATTGGTTGATTCGTTCATGTTAAATAATAACGGATACTAATATTATAATTTTTGATAAACATAAATAAACTCATCAAAGATACCAGGCTTAATATTTTGTACGCCAGATGCGCGTTTCGTCTGCAAAGTACTATTCGTGACGCTGGAATCAAAAATAATAAAACGATAAGACATTTGACAAAATCCGATGAGAATAACAAATATAACATCAAAACTAAATACAAGGAATTTGGATAGAAAAATACCGTGACACGTCTTATAGCAATGCGAATTCGCACTCAGCAAAACAGTCACAATCGTGAATAAGTCACGTTTGGTACTTAAAAGATCAGACGACGTAATGGCAAACCACAATCTAACACGTGGTAAAAATGTCCTTTGTTAGTTTGGACAAAGACACATCGTATGAATCAACCAATTCGTGATGGAGTCCATAAAATTTACGGAGTGTCATTTTTAATCTGTCCTCCTCATAACTTTGTTGGAACATTTTCTGCGTTAGGAGCACACTCCTGTATATGAAGTCCGTATATTGTAAACATGCACGAGCATAACGTATCATAACCGCTTATACCGATCGGTGTTTCAGCAAAAGGTTATTGAGCCAGGAGTTTGTCAAGGAACGTTTTGTCCTTTTTCTCAAAAAGTTCATCGGAAAAGTACCGAGGCATAATAGATAATATTCAGTGTTAACTTAACAATTAGTAGATGATGAGTTAAATTCATCTTTAGGTTAGGTACCCTTGTATTAAATTGTTATTTCTGTACTTAATCGGGAGAATGTGTGTATGCCAGAAATAGTTGTCCATACTTTATCATAATTTTTTTTTTAAGTTTGGCTGCTGGATCCAAATTGTTGTCATGTTAATCAATTGTGTTTTCTTTGCTGTGTTTTGTATATTATCGTTTGTCTTTTGGTCGTTTTTCGTTTTTTGCCATGGCGTTGTCAGTTTGTGCTCGACTATTGAGTTTGATTATCCCTTATATGTATTCGGCTTTTCTTTTATATTTGTTTGGGTTGCTCACACTATTGTCAAAAAAGGAACCATAGTAAACTGTCATACAAGTGGGAGGTTAAGCTAGCTGTGAAACTAAGTTTTAACCACCAAGTTCTTCTGAAAATGCCTGTACCAAGTCAAGAATCACTTCAAACCAGTAAAAGTCTGTTTTGGTCTATATCTGTACTCGACTGTACTGATTTTTACTCGACCAGTCTGTTTTGGTCTGAAATTTGCACGATATTTTTCGACAGTAGTCTGAACCATACTTAACAGTCTGAACTTGTACTTGACCTTTACTCGACCAGAACTTAACCTTTTTATAAGTGTCTGAACCATACTCGACCAAGTCTTAACCATTCTCGACCAAGTCTGAACCATGCTCGACCTAGTCTGAACCATACTCGACGTAGTCTGAACCATACTCGTCCTGGTCTGAACCATACTCGACCAAGTCTTAACCAACCTAGACCTATTTCTGCATCTATCTTTTGTATTTCATTAATTTAGGAACGATTTTTAACAACAATTTGAAATCCAAAATGTATTCAATATAGAATTGAAACCTAAATTTCACAATAAACATAATATAATCATCAACACCATATTCGTCAACGCTTTATATATATACAAGGTATATCACCTCTAAAAAAAAAGTAGAAACGAGATGTTTAAAGGCACTGGTCGGATTACATTTAAAAAACAATATTCTGTAATAAATTAAGTTTTCGGTAAAATGAATTTTTATATACATGATGCTCACATTGCATTATGTTAATCAAAAATACTAGAACTATGGACCATTATTCAAAAATCTTAAATGATATTCAATTCTTTTTGAATATTTTATGGTTACTGCCATTTTTTTATATTATATATAAAACAACTTAATTAATTTTAAAAATGACACATTTGTTTTGTAAAACCAAGAATTTAATATTATAGAACTTCCATGGCAATCCTTGATAACCTATTCAGAAAGGAATTATGTTCCAAAGTTGCAGTAAAAATTTAAGTTGATTAATTAAATTTTGTCAAAATTAAAGACATGGCATACAAGAAGCACCTTCATAAGGGATAATTACCTTAGTACAGGTGTGTTTTACAGGTAAATAGAAAATCATATTTTTCTATAAACTCGTGTATTATTTTTCTAGTGAATTCAAAAAGCGTTGTGATTTAAGTTTTGATGTGATTTAAAATTTATTTCTCTCTAACCAGGTGTGCTCTGTTTAATGTATGTGCCCCCATCAGGAGGTATTACTTTATAGTTTACCCCTGATCAGAAGAACAATTTTAATCTTTTCTTTAATTTTTTATCCGTTTTAGGTATATTTCTGAAATAAGGTTAAACAATTTCAATGATTTTGTTGGCTGTTGTTACATCAGTTAAAAAGATAGTCTTATAGCTATTGTATGTAACCATGAAACCTATGTAGTTTTTATTCAAGATTTTAGGTGAATTAAGTTTTGTAAAAAAAACCCCAAAACATATTACCCTCAGTACAGGTGTGTTTTTCAGGTAAAAGAAAATCTGTAAATATATCCTGACTTTATTGTGGCTGTTGTCATGTCAGTTAAAAAGATAGTCATTAGTCATATAAACAGTTAAATTTTAAAAAGTAGAGATATGGTTCAGACTGGTCGAGTATTGTTCAGAATTTGGTCAAGTTTGTATCAGACCTTTAGTCGAGTATGGTTCAGACTGAAAAAAATAGGTTGAGAACTGGTCGAGTAATGGTCTATTACAGGTCGAAAATGGGATAAGACTGTTTCAGACTGGTCGAGTAGAGGTTCAGACTTTTTTCAATGGCAAAGATAAGGGTCAAGTACAAATCAGTACAGTCGAGTATGGTTAAGATTGAGGTCGAGTAATATCGAGTAAAATTCAGACCAATTCAGACTGGTCGAGTAAAAATCAGTACAGTCGAGTACAGATATAGGCCATTTCATACTTTTACTGGTTTGTAGTGGATATGACAGTTGTTTCCAGTCGTTCCGGTGGTTGATATAGTCAAGCATTTGGTTTTGTCAGTTTTCATGAACTTCCTCTTTTTGATTCCGTAATTTTGTCATTAGATATTTTATGTATTTGTTTGATGATCACTGTCTTTAATGAAAGTATTCAACTAGGCAAATGTTATAAATGTATTTACTGCTGCATGAAAATTGAAATTATTTTAGGTAAATTTGAAAGAGTTAAAGCTCATTAAGTTTTTGTAAACTATTCTATCCTATCAAAGATAATTGCTTGAAAAATAAAAAAATATAATATTGGTGAAAAGAAAAAAATATATTTAAAGAATTCAAAAATGATATATCATTCTAATGAAACAAGAAACAACAGATAGGCGTTTTTTTAAATTATATTTTAGTGATTAATCAATCCTTGTCATTTTAAAAACAATGTCAATACAAGTAACATATTACAATTAATCAATAGAACTTTAAAACAAGTTGCATAGTTTTCTATTGCCATTACGAAACTGTTATTTCTTTAAAACAATATTTTAATTTTTAATGAAAGCAAGAGAGTGTTATGTCTCACAAATAAATCATAGAATTACAAAAATGCCGTACTCCAAGTGAAATTCAAAACGGAAAGTCCTTTATAAAATGGCAAAATCAAAAGCTCAAACACATCAAACAAATGGAAAACAACTGTCATATTCCTGACTTGGTAAAGGCATTTCCTTATGTTTTTTTTTATAGTGATTAAGATTATACACACAATGTTGACTGCTGTACTCCTATTTTTGACATTTTTACCTATTATGTCTGTTTATTTTGTTCATAAATTGCTGCCAATATAACGGAATTTTATGCGACTGTCATACAAGTAAGAGGTTAAGCTAGCTATAAAAGTTATAAAAGCAGGTTTAATCTTCCATTTTCTACATAAGGAAATGCCTGTACCAAGTCAGGAATATGAAATTTATTTACCATTCGTTTGATGTGTTTGAGCTTTTAGTTTTGTCATTTTATAAGGGACTATCCGTTTTGAATTTTCCTTTGAGTACGGAATTTTTGTTAGTTTACTTTTTTGTAGAAAACGGTGGATAAAGCATAATATATACTGTGAAAGTATTTTTATTCGTGGGTATCAATTTTCGTGGTTTGAGCAAAAGTTACATGTTCTTTGGTTTTTAAATTCGTGAATTTTATTTTTCTGAAAAAAATCGAGTGAAGAATTTGAAGCCATCAGAAACTATGATTCTTGAAAATAATCATATGCTGTTTTATAATGATTTGCGGGACATTGCAAAATAAGGTGTTCATTTTCACTTACTTGTTCGTCTTTCCATACTGACAACATTCATCAAATTTGTGTCGAGCCTGTAATATTTATGTCGCGAAAGCGAGACATAGCGATTCTAGATTTCGTCGTCGGCGTCGGCGTTGGCGTCAACATCAATTACTTTGTCAAACCTTCATGGAATTTTTTTATGAAATTTGGACAGAAGCTTGTTTATGACCAAAATACAGTATCCAGAGCAAAAGTTTGAAAATATTTTTTTTTATTTTTTTCCTTTTTTTACTGATAAATGGACTTAAATTCACATTTAACATTCAGATTCAGTCTGAGGATAAAGTTTTTCAGTCATCAATAACTTTGTCAAACCTTCATGGAATTTTTATGAAATTTGGACAGAAGCTTATTAATGACCAAAATACAGTATCCAGAGCAATATTTTGAAAATTTTCCGTATTTTTACTGATAAGTTGACTTATTTTATTTACAATTAACAAGCAGATGTAGTCTGTGGTCAAACTTTGTTACACATCAAATTTTTGTCAAACCTTCATAAAATTTTATGAAACTTTTTTTATGATTAAGAGATAATGTCTGAAGCAAACTTTTGAAAATATATTTTCATTTTCAGTACTTTTCTGATAGATGGACTTAGTTTTTCACAGTTAACATTAACAAACAATCTCGGATTACATTTTTTTTGACATGA